GTGATAGTGACTATAGATAGATTGTGACTATATAGGATAAATTTTAATAATAAAGTGTTTTGAACATTCAACTGGTGTGACTATATAGTAGAATGTGACTATAACGGGAGTGACTATAGAGGGAGTTGACTGTACTACTTTTAATATAGTGAAGAAGCTGTTCTGCACCTCAAATTCGTTATAGCAAGTTAAAAAAGAATTTGAAGAATTTGATTGGTTATTTTGTTATAGTAAGGGAAAATTGACATAATTTATTGGCTAAGCATCACGTGATTCATTATATCAAATTTGCTATAGGAAGGGTAAACTGTAATATTATTTTTATATTTTATATTACTATTAATAATAAAAAATTAAAATTTATTATAGTAAAAAATTTACTATATTAAAAGTCATATAAAAAAATCTGTACCTGAACTTTTCTTTACTATAGCAAATTACTCACTATATAAAAATTCACTATAGAAGGGGTAAACTGTATTCTGCTTTAGTATTTTATTAAATATAAAAATTTTACTTTTATTAATCATATTTCTCTTTAATTCTGATAACTTAATAAATTTAATTCTAATTAAAATTATACTGTACTTTTCTTTATATAATATCTGATATTTCAAATATATAAGTATTATTCAATTAGTATTTTGTAAAATATCTGGAGTATTTATGCAATACCAAACAGTAATATTATATTCTAAAATTTCTTAATAAAGTTATTACTTTCAGTATTAAAATTAAAATAAATACTTATTCTAAATACAATATTATTAAAAAATTATTTTATTAATACTTTAAACTTTAGATTTTTACCACCTCTTTTAAGAATTTCTTCAACAGGACAGTTTGGATAAATATTAACAAGTTTCACATTGCTCTGAAAATCTAATAAAAATTTTTGTTATATAGATTATATTGTTAATTATCAGTAATAGTAGAAAGTAGTAATAATATTAGTTTTATATATAAAAAACCTTAACTTTTTATTTAAGAAAGAATTTTGTTAACCGATTATATAAATATTAATTTTAACCAATAAAATGCTTAATTTTATGACATATAAAACTTTTACCCCTTAAAATGTTATGTTACAGCATAAACTTAAAATTGAACTTTTTAAATAACTTTAATATAGAAATTGGTCTAAAACAGATTGTAAAGGTTATTTTTATTTAGAAATATGAATTAGTAAAAGAATTGTATTACTTTTTCTTATATTTGATATAATATAACATAAAATATATAAAATATCAAATAGATTAATAATACGAAAATGTGATTATCAAGTTTGATAAAAATCTAGAATAATTTCTCATTGTTTACATGGTTAATTTCTTTAATGCCACCCGAGCGCTACAATTATGGTAAACTGAAAAAAGATTGTGATACAGTAATACTAGGATAGATTGTGACACAATAATAAACAGTAGTAATGTAACATTTACGTTACTCTCAACTTTTTCATCATATGAAAACTTCAATTTCTTTTCGTTTGAGATCAATAAAAATTCTCCGTTAAGAGCTTCATCGGAATTTCTAAAGAATTAATACATGACTTATATGTATACGAGATCTGCAATCTATAACGTGGGCACAAGAAGCTCAACTTATAACAAAACTGCTACTTATAACACGAATGCAAGATCCACAATGGTCCCAAGAAAAACATCTTATAACTTAGATCTAAGAAAACCAACAACTTATGACATGAATACGAGAGCAGCAACTCCATATAACGCAGCTTCAAGTACTGGTATGGGTAAAACAACGTCAAAGACTTTGTATCAAGTAGCTTCAAACAAAAGCTTGAGTAAACCCACGGAAACAACAACTTACCAAATGTCTTTAAGCAATAGTACAGTTCCCAATCAGGTAGCTGGAACCCAAAAATATACAAATTCGATAGCTTATAATCTGGGCACGAGACAATTAGAATATGGACTAACACTTGATACTATTGCAAAATTGATTGCACCTCAACAGGAAATTTATAATGTGAGCACAGGAGCAGCATCAGTTATCAACCAAAAAGCAATTAGTACTGCTACAAGACCATCCAATTCTCAAATGCCAAGTTTTAATAGAACTGCTGAATCAACTACACCAATTATTTCAAGACCATCGGATTCTCAGAATTCGAACAAAGTTTTAGAAAAGAAAGCACTAAGCGTAACCATGAAACCATCAGAATGTCAAATATCAACTTTAAGTACAGATGCAAAATATGTAAAATCAACTACAACAAAACTACCACCTTCTAGCACTTCTAGCACTTCTAGCACTTCTAGTATATCTAGCACTTCTAGCACAACAAATACAAAACAATTGAGTCTTCAAATTTCTGCATCAACTAATAACATGACAAGTTCACCAACATCAGGTAGATTTGCAAGGCCAACGACTCCAAAATCAGCTTCAAATTCAGGAACAGGTAATGTTTTTGTTAAGACGGGACCGAACACTGTTGTTCGTGCCGAACTCATTAAAAACAAAACAACAAAGAGAGCAGAACCAGCGAATTCTGTAAGCAGGACAAAAGAAGACGAGTACAAGTCTGGTAAGAAGCCAAAGGCTGCTTTCAAGACTAAGCTGGTCAATAAGTATTGTACTTATTATCACAAATACGGTAAGTAATTCACTGTTAATTTTGTACTAGTTAAAGGTTCAAGATTTATATTAATTTATTACTTTTTAGGTCGATGCAAAGAAGGCGATTATTGCGCTTATAAACACGATCCAAATCGAGTGGAAGTCTGCAAATTGTGGCTTAAAGGTTCTGAATGTACATTGAGCAACAAATGTCCACTTCAACACGTCGAATCTGCACATTTAATCCCGTACTGTCGACATTTCTGTAAAGGTATGTGCCTTAAAGATGATTGCCATTACACACACGTGAAGGTTAGCAAACGGGCACCACTCTGTAAAGACTTCATGGTGGGCCGATATTGTCCGGCGGGGATGAACTGTCGCAAGAAACATGAGTGGGGTCTCTACGAGGAACCGACTGAGACAGAGAGTGAAGCTGGTAAGAAACACGATAGGGACCCGACTGAGGATGTGATTGAGCGTGAAAAAATTAAGAAACTTCGCGAGGAAATGGCGAATGGTGTAAACCCTTTCGCGGCAGGATGGACATTTATCCCAATTGATGACTGAACCCTTCAATCTTCTTTTATTATTTTTTTATTATTTTTTAATTTGAATCTTTCAGCTTATTTGCATTGCATGATTAAATTTGTACAAATATGTAAATATTTTGCAATAAAATAATTATTATAATAATAATATAATAACAACATAACATACGATGAGGTTATAGTTTTATAGTTTATAGTTTGAATTGTTAATTTAAATATTTTCAAATGACAAATTTTACGAAATATGTAAATAGGTTAATATGATTATTTATCAGACTTCCAGTTTAATGGTTTAAGAGTTTAGAATTAACATTTAATTTAATAATAATCAATAAAATTTCATTGTTAGTTCTTTTCAAATTAATCACTCAAATTTATTTCCAAAATAAAAAGAAACACGCAATAAGATATATACATACAATTATTACAAAATATTGGCTACAATAAAAATTGAAAAAAAAAATGAATTTTTTCTTCACAGTTCACTCCTAAAATAATATTTTGGTGATGATCGTTCTTCTGGTGGCCCGGCTATACCTTTTTATATAATATACAATATAAATATATGTGTATAGTATGTAATTTATTTGGTGATACCTGTGAGAATAATTATTTATGATTAACAAAAAAATGAATCCTAAGAGAGAAATTGTGTGAAATTAATTAACTCACCGATAACACCACAAGCAAGACGATCACCCGCATTACCAGTTTTAAGAGATAGTTCATGACCACCTTTACCAAGGTCATCAACATCAGCATGAATAACGATAGTACGTCTATAGGATCATTTAATACAATAATAAGAAATAACTTAGATTTTTGAAGAAAAATAGAAAAAAAATTTAATTTAGGATCGAAATAGAATTACCCGATTACAGAGTTGGGACCACTTAATTTAATTTGGTCATCAGTAATTTTAGTAGCAACTTTACCATCCGGGCCAGCAGTAACATTACCCAAATCGCCAACGTGACGATCATCATCCTTAGGAGCTCCATGAGTTTTACCGAATGGGTTAAAATGAGGTCCAGCTGAAGTGCATCCATTCGTGTTATCACCGAATTCACTATTAGCACCAAAAAATTTTTATGGCAAAAAATTCAGCCACAAAAATTACACGATTGGACATTTAAAATATAGAAACATACTGGATGTGGAATCCATGTTCACCAGGAGCTAATCCTTCAATTTTAATATCAATTTCCGTGGGCCCATTTTCACTTTCCTGAATGAAAGTAATAGTACCACCTACTTTGATAGATGGTTTATCAGGAGTAAAAACTGCAACAGCTTTAATAGTCATTATGAATGTATAATATATTTAAAAATTAATTATCGTGAATAAAAAGAATTTGATATAAGGGATTTATCTCATCCTTTTATAATCTTTTTTTTTCTGATGTATTAGTATAGATAGATAAAATATTGCATCATTTGTCATACGCAAAAATGCCGCACCACGAAGGTACTCATTTTTCCGCTGTTAATTCCGAAAAAATTGAAATTTTCGTATGATAATATGTCGATCATTTTGGAACTAGGCGCTAATATTTAAAATTTTTGGCAAAAAGCATGTTTAAATAAAAAATAATTGAAGCTCTTATTAAAATGCTAAACTCGAAAAAGAAAAATCAGATTTTAAGAGTAAGGATTATAAAATTAACTTTTGAAATTAGAAAATCTCACATGATTTCTATCTTCGTGACGCAACACCCATTTTTACGTCACATAAAGCTATATTTATTAAAAAAAAAAAAAAAAATAAAAAAAATGTATTGTTAAATCCCCCCTATTTGTTGATTAATAATAAGTCAATAAAAGTCAATAAATGATAAAATTAATTATGAAAAAGTAAAAATGGAAGCCATCTATATATAATAGTTTACTATCATATGAGAAACTACAATAAGCTCCAAAATAAATTATCAACCAAAATAAAAAAAATAATCGTACAAAAATACATAGGAATTGAAATATACTATAAACTGATACTTTCAAAATAATTGCTCAATTCATTTATTTTGATCCTTTACCCTTTTTAATCAACCATTGCAAAGTTATATCAATATTTACTTGATTTTTTGCAGAGATTGAATAACAAGAAACTTCCCTATTATTGATGGATTTTAAATTCCTATAAAATAGATAAAAAAAAATAGTTAAATAAAGGTCAAAGAATAAATAAATATATATATTTATCTTTTCAAGAAAATAAAGTATCCGCCTACATTTCTTCAATAAGTTTATCAACCGGCAAAGCATCCTCTAAGTCATTTTTATTTCCCAAAACTAAAACTGGGATACTAGCAAGTTGAGGTTTATCCAAAAGATTGCGTAATTCTTGTCTTGCTGCATCTAATTTTTCGTGATCGGCAGAGTCAACTACAAATCTATTAAATAAAGCATTACATTTTCAATAAGAAAATTCTTTACTTGTTAATGCTGAGATGAGAATTTTATTTTGTCTATAGTACTTACACAATAGCATTTACACCACGGCAATATCGTTCCCACATACTTCGAAAACGTGGTTGTCCGCCAATATCCCATAATTTCATAGTAACGCTTCCTTTCGTGACTTTACGCATGTTGAAACCTACCGTTGGAATCATATCTTCACTGAATTGACCAGACTTGCATAAATTTTTTTTTAAAAAAGACAGAAAAATTATTAGAGAATTCTACCAAATTTAGACTTCTACTGATAATAAAAAACCCTAAAATGACACCTACGGCAATTACGTTGACCAAGGTAGTTTTACCACTGTTCTGCAGGCCAACTAGAGTAAGTTCTAGTTCCGTCTTTATTAGTTTATTTTAACACAGTAAGATCGTAGTTAGTATGAATTCAAAAATTTCGGTCATAATCTACCATGTTCGGAATTTACTCAAAATACCTTAAAAAATAAACTCCTAAGCCATTCTAGGAACGATTTCAATATAGAAGCCATTTTAAATCAGTAAACTTTACCAAAAAAATTTGAAAGAGTGAAAATTAAAAGAAGTGAGAAAATGAGTTTTTAGAAGTGTGATTTATTTACGTGCCTCAGCTTAGATTATAAGTTTCAATTACTGCATGCAAAACACTACATAATTGAAGAGAACTGATCGACAGACAGATCAACAATCTCCTAACCATGAGATGCTTCACGTGTTATAAAGCTCTGACGTCTCCTTCTGACTTGAGACCTATTCCAAAAGTTAGTATTATTCTCCTTTGAATAAATACACTTTGCTCAAATGGCGTTAGAAGCTGAAGTGTGGAGCGACATTAAACCAATTCCCCTAGACGATGGACCTGACCCGTTGGCACCAATTGCATACGATGCTGAATGTATATAAGCTCATTTATGTTCTAAGATTTTAGTTGAAGTAATAAATTTTATATATTTATCTATTTTCTTAAAAGACTCTGAAGCTATGGGTTACTTTCGCGCTATTTCTCAAAGGGATGAACGTAGTGAAAGAGCTTTAAAACTAACAGAAAGAATTGTTGAGTATAACCCTGCTCATTATACTATCTGGTTAGTAGCATCATGGACTCGCTTTTTTAAATAATCTTCTTATTTGATCAATTCGTTTGAAATTTTATTTTAGGCACTATCGTCAACAAATTTTATTCTCTTTGAATAAAAATCTAAATGAGGAATTGGATTTTGTAAAGGAACAAATAGAGAGTAATCCAAAGAATTACCAGCTTTGGTAAATTTAATTTAAATGTTTTTTTTTTGGATTTTTTCAATCTAATATTTTTTAAAAATTTTAAAGGCATCATCGACAAGTTCTTGTGGAAAAACTTATGGATGCTTCTTGTGAATTGCCATTTATTAATGAGATTTTGAATGATGACGCAAAAAATTATCATGCTTGGACTTACAGGCAATGGATTATAAGAACTTTTAATTTATGGGAAAATGAACTTGATTTTGTCAATAAATTATTGGATAAAGATGTTCGAAATAACTCTGCCTGGAATCAGAGATATTTTACCCTTTTTTTCAATCCAACTAAACCTACTGAGGAATTTCTTACTCAAGAAATTGAGTAAGTGATAATGATAAGAAATATGTATAAATTTTTAGTTGATTTATAAAACATTTGTTTATCTATTTTTAGATATGTGATTGAAAAAATTAAAATGGCTCCAAATAATATAAGCCCATGGAATTATATTAAAGGGTATACTTTGCATGTGTTATTTAGCTTTAAAATTTTTTGATTAACATTAAAAATATTTACTTTTTTAATATATTTCTAGCATTATCGCAAAGTCTAATAAAGATATTGGTATTTTGGAAGAATTATGTAAAGAGATCGAAAAACAGGATATTATATCTCCTCATGCTATTGGATGTCTTGTAGATATTTATGAGAGTCGGGCGCGAAAAGGATCTGCCACAGATAAAGAAGAAGGAATCAGAATTTGTACACTTTTAGCAGAAAAGCATGATGCTATTCGAAAAAAATATTGGGAATACAGAAAAGTCATTTTAACATCACTTTAATTGGTATTTGTAGTTGGATGATTTTTATAATCCGTTATATATTATAGTATTTTAATAATTCATCTATTAGTTAAAACATTTGGTTACAAGACAGTATTTTAATTTTGTCATCGTAAAGACTTAAACAATAAATGATCGGCCGCGAAGTTCATGTGATTCGTACCACATTCCGTAATAGGTGATTACGCAACCCTAATTTAAAGTATAAATAAATAGATCCTTGAGATTTGTAAAAATATTTTTTAAATAAAAATTTATTACTTATAAATCTTTTACTGCGAATAAGTGAATAAGCAAAAATGGTAACGATTCGAACTTTCAGTAAATGAACTATCTTTTTCTCTTGTAAAATTTCAGCTAAATTTTGTTCAAAAAATTGACTTTATATCTTTAATAATATAGGGAAACGCTCAGTCTGGTCTTCCCCCACTTGGTGGCCCTGGTGATGATAAAAATAAAGACGATAAGGTTAGAACTTTTTAATGCTATCCCTTTTATACTCAAAATAACAATTATTGCAATTTTTAATAGGATAAAGATAAGAAAAAGAAATGGGAGCCGCCTCTTCCTACTCGTGTTGGAAAGAAGAAGAGAAGAGGACCCGACGCAACTTCTAAATTGCCAGCGGGTAGCGATCATGTGCATTTTTTAATATAAATGTGGTCTACGATTTATTTAACCAATTTCTTTACTTTAGTTTACCCTACAACAAGGTGCCGATTGAAACTATTAAAAATGGAGCGTATAAAAGATTATTTGTTGATGGAAGAAGAATTCGTTCAAAACCAGGAACAACTAAAGCCTCAAGAAGAGAAGGCACAAGTATGTATTGTAATTCAATATTTTAATTTGATAAGTTATTTTAAATATATATTTATTTATTTATTTTAGGAAGAAAGAATTAGAGTGGATGATTTACGCGGATCGCCCATGGGTGTTGGTACCCTTGAAGAAATTATTGATGATGATCACGCTATCGTTTCATCATCTACAGGGCCAGAATACTACGTTAGCATTTTATCCTTTGTGGACAAAGATTTATTAGAGCCCGGCTGTTCAATTTTATTACATCATAAGGTAGAATTATTATTTTCATGATTTAGTATTATTAGTATTTATTTACTTTCCATTATATCTAGTTTTCCTGATTTGTCTTTATTATAGGCAATGTCTGTCGTTGGTGTACTCCAAGATGATACGGATCCAATGGTCAGTGTCATGAAACTTGAAAAGGCACCTACTGAGTCATATGCTGATATTGGTGGTTTGGAACAACAAATTCAAGAAATTAAAGAGTCTGTAGAATTACCGCTGACACATCCTGAATTGTATGAAGAAATGGGTATCAAACCCCCCAAAGGCGTAATTTTATATGGTGTTCCGGGTACAGGTAAGAAATAATATTATTAGTAAAAGTGTTCAAAATAATTTTAATTAAGCTTTTATTTAATAGGCAAAACATTATTGGCCAAAGCTGTAGCCAATCAAACATCAGCCACGTTTTTACGTGTCGTCGGATCCGAATTAATTCAAAAATATCTTGGGGATGGACCAAAACTTGTTCGTGAATTGTTCCGTGTTGCAGAAGAACACGCTCCTTCAATTGTTTTTATTGATGAAATTGATGCAATTGGAACAAAACGGTACAACCATGTTGATTTTTATCTATCCATTTTATTTAATTTTATTACTTTATTAATAACGATGAAATAAATTTGTAGTTATGACTCAAATTCGGGTGGTGAGAGAGAAATTCAACGGACTATGTTGGAACTTTTAAATCAATTGGATGGTTTTGATTCCCGAGGGGATGTTAAGGTAATGATAGAATATATAAATATATATATTGAATAAAGTTGGTGGATTTATGCAAGATGTATTCTAATTATTTAGGTTATCATGGCGACAAATCGTATTGAATCACTGGATCCAGCATTAATTCGTCCGGGGCGTATCGATCGTAAGATTGAATTTCCGTTACCGGATGTAAAAACTAAACGTCGTATCTTTAACATTCATACTGGCAGAATGACTTTGGCAGGGGATGTAGATCTTGAAGAATTTGTGATGTCAAAGGATGATTTGAGTGGGGCTGATATAAAGGTAATGTATTTTAATTAATATAAGATTAACTTTAATTAAAACAAGAATTAATATTCTTTTTGCATTTTTTCAAGGCTATTTGTACCGAAGCAGGTTTATTGGCTCTTCGAGAAAGACGAATGAAAGTGATCGCTGAAGATTTTAGAAAAGCACGTGAAAAAGTTCTTTACCGTAAAACTGAAGGCACACCCGAAGGGCTTTACTTGTAGTTTATTATTATCGATTCTTTAAAAATAGCTATTTTGTAATACAAAGAAATAAAATATTTTTTTAGATTATTTAAAAATTTAATACAAAATTAATTAAAACAAAAATTTATACTCTGCTGTACATGGTAAATATGCATTATCACGTGCAATCGGCATATATATTTTATATGATCTGCGTGCGAACTTTACAATTATCTTTTGTAAATTATAAAAATGCCGAGAGGTTCAAAAAAACAAAACCCTCTAAATATGTTTCCTACATCACCTCCAATGATAAATCTAGATGATGATCCACCGGATTATTTACCAGAATTATCAAAATTTTCAAAAATAACTTCAGACGATAGTGCATATAAATCGTAATTATATATAACATATCCCATTCGAAGTTAAATCGTTGTTTTAAAATTTATTAACAAATTTTAAATATTTTTATGAAGTTGGATATGTTTATATCCAATTTATTTCGATTCGACCAAATCTGTACAGAAAGGAAGAAGAGTTAGTAAGGATATAGCTTCCCCACATCCTTTGGCAAAAGACATTGCTGAAGTTGTAAAGAACATAGGAATAAATTGTTTATATGAAGTAAGTTTTTGCCACTGATTTTTAAATTACAAGTATAATTTATTTATAAAATCTTCATAATAAATAGCCACATAAAGGACACCCTTGTGATTGGGAAAATCCTGGTAGAGTACGCGTACAATTGTTTAATGAAGATAAAACACCTTTTAAGTCAGAAATTCCAACTCGTAAGTTTAAAATTAACTCAACTTTTTGAAATAAATAAATAATATATATGTATTTATTTATTTAGGTAAAGAATTAATCAAAAGAGTAGCATCATCATTACCAGAAATTCAAAAAATTAATCCGCAACAATTTCCACCAAGTCATTCTCCTGCTGCTTCTAGTGGTATGCTAAAAGAAGGAAAAGGAGGCGGTGATGTTGGTAGTTCAAACACTTCAGCTACAACTTCTGGTCAATCTATATCTTCAGCTAGCGGTTCTTCCAAAAAGAAAGGAAGAAAAGGAAGAAAATAATTTTTTTTTTCTTGAGAAAGACAATTCAATTTTTTAAACAAATTCTTTGGCTTACAGACTAATATTAAATTTTTAAATATTTAATAATAATACATTAAAAATAAAATACATATTATGAAAACTACCAAATATATATTGACAAACTATGCACTTGGGGTATCAAATAATCTATCACCGGCATCTCCTAAAGGAAAAGAGAAAATAATTAAATTTAATCCTCTCTTATAATAGTGTTTATTATTAAGACATACCTAATCCGGGCACAATATAACTTGAAATAAAAAAATTGAATTGAATGTAATTAATTAATTTCGCAATAATATTAATGCACTATATTACATATAGTCTCTTACCCATGATCATCCAAAATTTCATCTATTACACCCACGAAAACTTCGACGTCTGGATATTTTTTATGAAGATTATTGAGACCCTAAAATAAAACATTTAAAAGTTAGAATTTAAAATTAAGCTATTTCTCCTCTTTAATTTAATATAAAATTAGATTTACTTGACGAGAAGCAACTGCTGTAATGAATTTAATCTTAGACTTTATTCCCCAATCCTTTAAAATGCTAACTGCGGCAATAGCGGTTCCTCCCGTAGCAATCATTGGTTCTAAAACAATAACTTGATCTACATTTGGTTCCGAAGGTAATTTGTTATAATATTCAACAGGTTGTAGTGATATCTTTTCTCTAAAAATTCCAAGATGTAAAATTCTAGCAGTCGGGATCAATTCTTGCAAAGCTTTATAAAACCAATCATAATTACTAATTTAGAACCTAAATTATATGATGCTAAGAGTGAAAAAATCATACCATTTACAAAGCTAATACCAGATCTTAATATAGGTACGAGACCAATTTTAGGTGCTAATTCAACGCTTGAATATGTTCTCAAGGGACTTTGTTGCTGTTGTAAATAAAAATATCGTGTAAGTTTACAATTAAACAAGGTAAATTGTTTAATAATTTTAATAATTATAATTTTAGGCATACAGGCTCTGCAGTTTTAAGAGATAAGTCAGCAGTAGCTTCGTACGCAAGAAGTTGACCAATTTCATGCATAAGTTCTCTTATTTGTTTTGACTTAGTGTTCTTATTACGAAGAATGGAGATCTTATGAGCGACTAAAGGGTGACTGGAAGCATAAACGTGAGACATTATTGAAGCTATGACGCGGAATCTGATTTTCGAACGCGGTTTAAGGGAACTTTTTCGAACAGAACAGTTAGAACAGTTTTACAGGATCGACGAACATCGTGAGAAATCATGCATGTCATGCTCAATGCTCATGCATGCCGATTAATGCGGATTTTCAACTTGCATCGATAAGGATAATCGACTTTACGCCCTCTTTTATTATGTATTGTGATTGGCTAAAATTTTATTAAAAAATAGAAGCTAATCAAACCCCAACGTTCCATAGATTTACCCCTATCTCCCCAACCTATGATCCGATAATGAATCCTTGCCTAGTCTAACCTGCGTTGACTTTTATTATTATTTGATCCAATTTTCGTACAAAGGCAACTAAAGAAACAAAATGACGGACGAAGTTTCATCCAACATAAGTGATACTGTACTTCATAAAATCTTGGAATCTGTCGAAGCCCTGAAGAAGGATCAAGAGTCGTTAGCTTTCAAGGTATTTCAGTTTTAATAATTTAGACTAGCCGATATTATTGTTATTAACGAAATCGCAACATTTAGCTTGATTCGTTTCAAGCTCAGAACAAAGAAGAATTGAAAAAACTTCAAGAAAAACTTGATCCTACGACGACGAGAATTTCTAAAACAACAGTAATTGCAAATAAAGGTTTGTGAACGTTTTTTTAAGGAAATAAATTTACTTATGTGTATTAACATTGCCTCTATTAATAGTTGTTGTCGATGAGAAGGAAACAGAAGTAATACAATCGAAAGCGAGTTTAGAGCCCAGTAGCGAATCAAATAAGCAGTCAATATATAGCGATAGATTAATTATTCTCACAAGTAAGACCATTACATTCTATTCGTTTTTATTTTACAATATATTGCCCGGTTCATTATAATTCATCATATAGCATATCCTGATCAGTTTGGTATTAAGCCAATATCTCTTAAGTGGGGTGAATTAGATCCTATTGTTCGTGGTCCAATTGTAGCATCTCGTCATCCTAAGAGTATTAAGATTCGGTGCGTAAATTAGATTCTTCATTTTTTTGACATTACAATATTACATAATCGATGTTCTAAATTAATATTGTCATTAGTAATGCTATTGGCGCTTATGGAGGTACATATTGTGTCTATCGCGCCTTGGCAGTCGCTATGGGTGCACTTGACCCCAATCATCATCCTGATTTTAAAAATACAGAACCTACGGTAGAAATAGGACCTCATCCACAATGGGGAAACGCTGATAGAATTGTTTCATTCGATCCCTTTGGTCATATTGCAACTACTTGCTTTGCTAATCAAATTTCTCAAGGAATCGATATTCGTCCAACCATTGCTATTACTAGAGCACATATGAAATTAGCAGAAATTGAAAATTGTGTTAAAGAAGGAAGATTACAGATAGATGGCAAAGTTGTTTTGAACGACACCGGAGAATTGAATGTTGTAAAAGCTGCAGTTGAGCCTGTATGGTATTTGCCAGGGGTAGCAGCAAGATTTGGCATTGACGAAGGATTATTACGCCGTGCACTTTTTGAAGATACCGGTGGGATGTATCCGGAATTAGTTACACGTCCGGATCTTAAAGTATTTTTACCTCCAATTGGGGGTCTTAGCGTGTATATTTTTGGGAATCCGAAAAATGTAAGCGATGCATCTAAGAAACTGACAGTGCGAGTACATGATGAATGTAATGGATCTGATGTTTTTGGATCCGATATTTGTACTTGTCGTCCATATTTAATTTTTGGTATGGAAGAATGTGTAAAAGAAGCTCAGAATGGCGGATCCGGAGTTATAGTTTATTGTAAGCATTATTTAGACAATACTTTCACTGCATATTACATTTTCTAATCACTTTGATTATAGTCCGTAAAGAAGGACGCGCTCTTGGTGAAGTTACAAAATACCTCGTGTATAACGCCCGTAAACGTTCCGCGGGGGGTGATACTGCGGATAATTATTTCTTGCGTACAGGTATTTTAGGAAAATTTAAATATTATAAAACTAAATTCTAAAATTAATGAGAATTTTATCCCTTAAAGAGAATATTGCCGGTGTTAAAGATATGAGATTTCAAGCGTTGATGCCTGATGTGTTGCACTGGCTGGGAATCACCAAGATTGACCGAATGATGTCAATGTCAAATATGAAATACGAAGCTATTGTTGGATCTGGAATCGCTATTCACGAACGCATACCAATCCCTAATGAACTGGTTCCACCAGACTCTCGGTAAATATTTAAAAAATATAATTTATAATATGCGTATATATATATGTGTATATATTTTTGAATGTACTAAATGTTCGTTTATTATAGAGTTGAAATTGATGCTAAAATTGCAGATGGATACTTTAGCGGTGGAAAAGTCCTTTCCAAAGAAGAATTAACAAAAGTTAGAGGGAGAGAATGGGATGATATTCAACACTAATCTATATATGTACCGAATTTTATCATTATGAAGTGTTTATTTAATATTTTTGTAATATCAAACATCGAAGAGTATAAATAAATATAATTAATCTTGATCCGGTATGCCATAACGGCTGTTAGTGTAGAAAAAAGAATTAGATAAATAATTATACATAATTGGCTAAAAACTTAATAAATTTTACCTCTTTAATTCTCTAAGTTCCTCTTCTTTTTTCTGGAGATTCATCTTTTTAGTAACTTTATTAGGTTGATAATAAAGTACAATAAGATATCTGCCCATAACATTGAATCCATTAAGATGATCACAAGCAGCTTTCGCATCAAATATATCTTCATAAACTACAAATGCTGTTCCACGTGTATCCTTTTCACAGCCTCTACGAGTAGGAAAAAGGGTTAAGCCAAGACTCTTGTTTGCTGAAACATGAAAATTACGAACTTACAATCGTATTTGACGTATCGCACCGTACTTTCCGAAAATATCGTACATTTCTTCAGAAGTAATATTGAATGGAAGATTCCTTACAAATAATACTCGATTTACTTCGGGTGGTAACCGGGCCTAATTGATCAAGTCGCAAAGATATCTTAGATTTAAGTTGTTAAAAGAGATCAGTAGATAAACTAAGAATATTAAACGTTACATTCCGGTTTTTTGCTGAGGCTGCCATAGCCATTTTTGTAAAGTAGCGTTATTGAATAGAAAAAAAAGAGACTTGAATTCAGCAAAGTAAAAAAATTCGTACTATATATCACATGTTACAAAAGGTAAAAGATTCTGATTGGTTGAGATATGGACACGGGAACTACTATTCTCATACCCGAAATTGTGCTTAAACTATGTAATGCACAGATGACCAATTTGACCAATTTCAATTCAAGTAAAATTTGCCAGAAAAAAGAGTATTCACTTGCTATTGCGGTAACCGTGAACACCCTATTTCTAAAGAAAGTTAGGCAAATAATTTCGGAGATCAATACAAAAATGCTTCTGGGGTAATCGGGACAACGTGTAGCGTATAGCTCTTGATATGCCTGTAAATCTAATCGCTTCTGATTTTTTTTTCAGATAAGATAAAGGAAATCAAACAAATTTCATATTTAAAAAACAATGTTTTATGGATCAATTGGATCATGTATAGTTCTTTATAAAGTAAAAATTAATTATATTGTATCACAGGACACAGGGATAATGCGTTGATCCGTTCTCTGCCGTTTTCGTTTCATTATTCCTAAATCAAATAGTATTTTGTATGCCAATCATTTATTCGAGGACGCTTATTTGTAAACTAAAACCGTCAATAATATTATTGTATCACATGGAGAAAGAATTTATTCCGTTTAAATGTGTTGATCCGTTCTTTGCCGTTTTATTATTGTTCTTGGATTACGTAAAGTACATAAATGTCAATCATTTATTAAAAACTGTTTATTTGTAGACTAAAGCTGCTAGTGATACACTAAACCTTTATTGTACCACGGAGAGAAGGATTTAAATGCGTTGATCCGTTCTTTGCCGTTCGTTTCTTTATCTTATCTTAATTATTTTACAACCGATTCGCGATAAGATTATCACGTATTGCGCGTTGGAAAAAAAAAAGTAATGGTCCCGTGACTTAAAAATAATTTATATATTGAAGCCCCACAAGTTGTTTTCTTTTCAGAAATTCTGCTTAAACTAAAAATATATTATGGCACTTAACAAAGTTGACGACAAACGGACCGTAGTGGTTTGTGGTCTTGGTATGGTCGCCCTATCATTTATTGAAAAGTTATTAAAATATGACACAAAACACCAATTTAGAGTAGAAGTATTTTGTGAAGAAGCTCAAGGTAAGATTTTTTAATTTTAACCGATTTATAATTTGGATCGTTTAATTATTAAATTCTGTGTTATTATTTTCGTTATTTTATTATTTAAGTTGCATATAACAGGGTCGGTTTAACTCAATTCTTTTCTCATCGAGAAGAAGAACGAATGTTGATGCAACCCTTAAGTTGGTATTCGGAGAATGATGTAACTGTTCACATAAACGAGAAAGCAACTTATATCGACACAACTACAAAATGTGTAATATCGGAAAATGGCTTATCCGTATCTTATGACACGTGTATGTTGGCTACAGGATCTTATCCGTTTGTACCACCGATCCCTGGTTGGGATAAAACTGGTGTATTTGTATATCGTACCATCAATGATTTAAACGAAATTATCAATTATGGCAAAAAATCTAAACGTGGTGCAGTAATTGGGGGTGGTTTACTTGGTCTTGAAGCCGCTAAAGCTTTGATGGATTTGGGATTGGATGTAACAATCGTTGAAGTTGCTCCAGTATTAATGGCAAGACAATTAGATGCTACAGGTGGAGAAATGCTTAAAGATGAAATCGATAAATTAGGAATTAAATGTATTCTTGGTATTCCACCAAAGGAAATTACTACTGACGAAGATGGCAGGGTTTCAGGTATTCGGTTTGAAAATGACTCAATTGAATTGGATTTAGTTATCGTTGCTGCGGGTATTCGTCCACGTGATGAACTCGCTAAAGCATCGGGAATTTCGACACACCAACGTGGCGGCGTTTTTGTTGATGATTGTCTACAAACAAGCGACCCTAACGTTTACGCAATCGGTGAAGTCGCTTTATATGGTGGTATGATTTATGGTCTTGTTGCACCTGGTTATGATATGGCTGATGTTGTTGCAAGTAACTTGACAGGTGGAGATAAACGATTCTTGGGAGGAGATTTGTCATGTAAACTTAAACTTTTGGGAGTTCACGTTGCCAGCTTTGGTGACTATACTGCTAGTAAAGATGTGGCGATGCCTTTGTTATACAACGATCCCTTTGGCTCTGTGTATAAAAAACTTTTATTCTCAAAGGATGGCAAATACTTGCTCGGTGGAATTATGGTCGGTGATACAGATGATTATACTAAACTACACGCTCTAATGAAATCAAAGAAAGTTTTAACTGTTGCTCCCGGCGAGCTTATTCTTGGTGTTAAATCCGGTCAAGCTCCCGGTGCAGATGATCTTCCTGATGAAGCTCAAATTTGGTATGTTTAATTTCTCATCTCGTATCAGCGTGTTTAAATTGAAAATCACGAAACTTTACTTACCTTACTAATTTTATTATACAAGTTCATGTAATAATGTATCAAAAGGGCAAATTCGGGACGCAGTTAAAATCGAAGAGTGTCGTTCTATTGGTCAAATTAAATCATGTACAAAGGCCGGTACAGGATGCGGTGGATGTCTTCCGGCTGTAACAGAAATTTTCGAGACTGAAATGAAAGCATTAGGTCACGTGGTGACTAATGCGCTTTGTCCTCATTTCAGTTTAACACGTGCTGAATTATTTCAAGTTGTCAAAATAAAAAAATTGACAAATTTCAAAGACATTATTGAAAAGGTCGGCAAAAATGGAACTCACGGATGTGAAATCTGTAAACCAGCTGTCGCGTCAATTTTAGCTAGTTTATGGAATGATCATATTCTTAATCACGCCAATTTACAAGACACGAATGACCGTTATCTTGCGAATATTCAACGTGGTGGATTATATTCGATAATTCCTAGAGTACCTGGAGGTGAAATCACACCTGAAAAGCTTCTAGTGATAGGAGAAGTTGCCAAAAAATATGGATTATACACTAAAATTACTGGTGGCCAAAGAATTGATCTTTTTGGTGCTAGAAAACAAGATTTACCTACTATCTGGGAAGAACTTGTTAATGCCGGTTTTGAATCCGGCCATGCTTATGGAAAAGCTTTGAGAACTGTAAAATCTTGGTAAGCTTTATATTGTAATATTATGATCATTTCACTAAATATTAATTTTTTACGATTTACTTGTTTCAGCGTTGGTTCAGAGTGGTGTCGTTATGGTAATAATTAAATTTTCGCAGTCTTTCTTTTGCGAACAAAATTTTAATCATTTTTTCACTTGACAAGGTCAAGGAAATAGCGTAGCCTTTGCTATTGAAATAGAAAATCGGTATAAGGGAATTAGAGCTCCTCATAAGATTAAAGCCGCCGTCTCTGGTTGCATTAGAGAATGTGCAGAAGTAAGTATCCACGTATTTTACCTTCGTTCCTATTAATTGTAATGTTATTAAATTCCTGTCTAATATGGCTTCTTTTTTTTAGGCTCAAGGAAAAGATTTTGGTCTCATTGCAACGGATAATGGTTATAATTTATATGTTTGCGGTAATGGTGGAGCTAAACCAAAGCATGCTGTTTTACTGGCAAAGGATATTTCGGAAGAACTCGCCATCAAATATATCGATAGGTTTTTAATGTATTATATCCATACTGCTGATAGATTGACGCGTACAGCAAGATGGCTAGAAAAAATGGAAGGAGGAATTGAAGTGAGTTATTTTTGTTATCAATTAATGTTTGAGGCAATATAGAAAAAAATGATGAAAAAATATATTACAAAAGAAATGGCGGGTATTAAAATAACTAAAACATCCTTTCTCCATGCCTCTTTGACATAATTACGTTATTTAGTATCTTAAAAAAATTATTATTGATGACCATCTTGGCATTTGCGCAGAATTGGAAGAAGACATGGCTCGATTAATTTATTCCTATGAATGTGAGGTAAGGGAATCATCTAAGTAGGAAAAATATGCTGTCTGTATTATAAATTTATCTTATTTTATATTTTAATGTGAAAGTGGGCCAAAGTCGTGCAAGACCCAAAAAGACGTGAAGATTTTACTCAATTTATAAATACGGACGAAACCATTGATGGAATTGAATGTATAAGTGAACGTGGTCAATCCCGTCCGGCAGATTGGCCAAAAGAATGTGCAGTCACAGAAAAAGACATTAGTGAAGTTAAAAAATCAGCAAATTTGGAATCAAAGAAATGGGTGAAGATTGCTCCATCTAGTGCATTCCCAGATGATGCTGGGCAGGTCATCAAATATGGAGACACACAAATCGCAATTTTTAATACCAATGAACGTACAAAATGGTATGCTACACAAAATATGTGCCCGCATAAGCGAGCTTTTGTATTATCTCAGGGGTTAGTTGGCGAAGAAGAAAATGGCACGATTAAAGTAAGCTGTCCAATGCATAAGAAAAATTTCGCATTGGAAACTGGTGAATGTGTATCGGGAGATGTGGATCTCAAGCTTATGACTTTCGAAATTAAAATTGAGGATGATTTCGTATGGCTATATCTTCCTCCCAAACAAGAACTTGATCGAATTCTTGGAACAAGTAAATGGAAAGTTTCTAAAAAATTATCGAAAATGAGCAAGAGCAAAAATAATATAGAAATTTTGGGAAGTACAGCTGCAGTTGGGTGTGGTGATATATCACCTTGTGGTGATAAAAAAATGGATTGGTAATTACTTCTGTACCGTGTATTTTAAATTGGATAAATTAAATTTAAGTACCATTTTTATTTATATTAGCAGTTCAAATAATATCTTTGCAGTTTGCAAAGTCATTATAGAACAGATTATATTCGATAGATTCTTATACAGTCAATGAAATTTATGAACTAAAAATGTTAGTGCATTTTATTTATTTTAATCGTAACCCTTAAACTGTTTTGCAGGCAAATTTGCCTGCAATTTTGTTTTTTAATTAAAGATACTTTAAATGTTTTAAAATATTTTATTATATAAACCAATATTTTTGTAATAAATTCTATAGTATTTTCTAAGTAAAAATCGAAAAAAGTTCAATTTGATATCGGCAAATTATAACAAATAGTAGCTAAATCTTTTAAATTGAAATATCTTTTTATCTATTAACCCTAGAAATATAAAATTACCACCATTTGATGCGTCTTAGAAGAATCTGATAGAATAAAAATTGTTCTACAAATATTATGTAACAGGATATCTTATAAAATCTATAAATTAATATAACTTTCTATCTATTAATTTTAGAGTTATGATTTTATTACCATTAAATGCGCCTCAATAAACTTCACATTTCTATGATCACTAGATCTTAATTTTAGCCCTTACTGTTTAAGGGAAATAAAAATATTTTTACATATATTCGAAACACGTGATCAATCACATTAAAGGTTACGTTGTACTACATTCAAATTATAAATCAAGCTGGAAAATTGTCACTTGAGAACTTCGAAGAAAAATGAGTAGACGTCGTGATTATACAGGGAGAGCGCCTGACAAAGATTTTCTTATTGAAAGAAAACGTCGTCGTCTAGAAATTTCTTATTCAATATGGCCTTCTTCGCCTGAACCAGAGCCATTAAGCCCACGTGAACGATATAAAAAAGGATCTCGATTTGAAGCTAGTAATTCAGATAGTGAAGATAGGAAAAGACACAAAACGAAAAAACATAAAAAATCCGAATCTAAGTCAGACTATCGTTCATCTAAACATAAAAAAAGTTCTAAACGACATAAAAAACAAAAGAAACATCGATATAGCAGCCCTTCAAGCGAGACTGAAACTGATCAACGTAGTGAAGTCTCTGTTAAAGATCGAGAAACTCAGGTTTTGAAAGAAGATACATTTATTTCTGAAGAAATAGAAAAAATTGTAGAAAAACGGGCTGAGCAACAACAGCAGGAAGATACAATAGTAGGACCGTTACCCACGCCTGTTAATGAAACGAAGCTAGGAGAAAGAGATTATGGTGGAGCATTGCTTGCAGGGGAAGGTTCGGCTATGGCGGCATATGTTCAGGAAGGAAAACGTATTCCACGTCGTGGTGAAATTGGGTTAACAAGTAATGAAATTCAATCATTTGAGGACGTTGGCTATGTTATGAGTGGAAGTCGGCATAGGCGTATGAATGCTGTTCGTATTCGTAAAGAAAATCAAGTCATATCTGCTGAAGAGAAAAGAGCAGTGATGTTATTTAATCAAGAAGAAAAATCCAAGAAGGAGAACAAGATTATTTCGGATTTCAGAGAATTATTATCAGAAAAAATGCGAGGAAAACAATAATTTTTATTAGTATTACTGGACATTCAATATACTTCATAATTTAAGTTTTCTTTATTACCTGTTACGTTTTGTTGTAGTAATCATAGTTAAAAAGTCTGTTTGTAAAAAAACGGTTTGACTGATTAAAATAAATCACGCGATTAAGTACAAAACCAAATTACCAAATTAGTCTCCATACAAATCGGGGGTTAGCCAATTATTTTCATTACTTTTATTATGAATGTATGAATGCCAATTTGCCAAACATGATAAAAAATTACGGTCATCAGCGGGATTATTTATCCCTTATCCAAATTAATGACGCGTAGTCCGATAAATTCCTTTTTTAGTCAACCTTAGTCAAACTTTCACTTTAGTTTTAGCCTTTTCGATACCAAATTCAGTCATGTATGCGATTTTAATATTGTAATACAGGACGAATACAAGTTTAAGAATCGTTGCACGTGAAAATCTTTTTTTCATCTTTTTTTTCCCTTGATGTTTTCGTCGCCATTTATTTTCGCAAATTCTTTCTTACATGATTAATATTAATTTATCACATATTCTTTTATAATAAAGACATATTGTCAATAACAACTTCGAAAGATGTCATCACTTACGAGTCCTTCAAAAAACCAACAAAAACTTTCAACTTCAGAAAATGAATCATCAATACGTGATATTACACACATAAGAGTAGATAACTCCTCTACTCCTTCCTCCTCTCAAAAATTTTCCCTGCCGCCAACCGAGTATAAAAATTCCAATGTACATAATGCCATGTTGAAATGTAACCAGGATTATGTACAGAAGTCCAAGATTCTTATGAGTCTTTTGGTCGACACCTCTTCAATCCTTAAACTAGTTCGTGAAACTAATAAACAACGATGGGATTTACATTATCCTTTTGTTGGTATTAAAAGTACTCAGACACCCGGTTTAAAATCTTCGTTGTATAATGATAGAAATCACAGGTCAATGAGTAAATATAAGCAAAAAGTTAATGATCGATTGCACACTCCTACCGATATGTCATCTTCTCAAGAATTTAACTCAAAATTAAATGTGCTTAAGCTTGATTTGAAAAGGGGGGACACATCTTCTGCTGAAACCGTCTTTGAAGACCTGGATAAAAGCGCAATCGCAACCCTGTTGGATGGTCGCTTAGTTCAAACAGAAAAACGATGTGAAAGTCTTCACGCACGAATTTCCGATACTAGTTCTAAAGTATTGGTTGCCGGTGATGTAAATGCTGGAAAAAGTACATTTGTAAATGCACTTCTCAGGAAAGAAGTAATGCCAGTCGATCAACAACCATGTACAACTTTATTTTGTGAGGTGCTTGATGTTCAAGAAAATGGTGGTATTGAAGAAATACATGCTATCAAAGATATTACCTCGTATAAAAGAACAGACGTCTCAACGTATACTGTTATCGAATGGAAAGACTTATACGACACTATTGTTAATAATGAAGAATCAGGAGAGTACACTCAATTGAAAATATATACAAAAGATCGTCGAAATGCTCAAGAGAGTTTATTACATAATGGAGTAGTTGATATTGCATTGATCGATTGTCCTGGATTGAATAGGGATACACTCAAAACAACTGCATTGTTTGCTAGACAAGAAGAAATTGACGTTATCATTTTTGTTGTCAGTGCAGAAAATCATTTTACCTTATCTGCTAAAGAATTCTTGTCAAACGCTTCTAAAGAAAAGGCCTATCTCTTTATAGTTGTTAATAGGTTTGACAATATTCGACATAAAGAAAAATGTAGACGAGCAATTTTGGAACAAATCAAAGAAGTTTCTCCACGTACTCATGAATATGCAAAAGATTTGGTTCATTTCGTTACTTCAACATCCATAAAGATCGAAAAAGATGATGATAATGTTGGTAATATGTCTCATAAATTCAATACAGCCGATCAGAATGACAATGATACAAAAAGTATAGAAGAATTTTCTAAGCTTGAAGAATCGTTACGTACATTTGTGTTGAAAAAACGATCAAAATCAAAACTTGCACCTGCTCAACATTATCTCGATAATTTGGTAACTGACATCGGTGTATTAATTGAGTTTAACAGAAACATTGCCCAGCAAGAGAATGATAAGGCAAACATGAAACTTAAGGAAGCGGAACGTGCTTATAATAAGTTGGTATCTGATCAAAAGTCATCTGTCGCAACTGCTGAAAAAGCAGAAACCCGTGTATGTGAAGAGATACAAACTTTTACTAGAAATTCTTTAGAAAAAGCTATTGAAAATGTTGGTAAAAATGTTTCATGTGAATTTAATGGCTTATTATATATTTGGGGTTATGCAAATGACCTCCGTGATTCAATGTTAGACGATATTCAAAAAGAAGTGGTAGCTTCTGAAGAGAATGCTAAAAATAAGACTGCTCAATGCATTAAATTAATCCAAGATCTTGGAAAAGATTTAGGAGAAGTTAAACAAGTTAACCTTGATAGAATGTATACTAAGCCTGGAATGTCTATTTCGATTGATATTGAAATATCTGACTTCATTGAATTTGATTTAAATGAAAAATTTAGTGAAGGATTGGGATTTGCAGGTTTAGCTGGTGGAGCTGTTATGTGTGCAGCAACCAGGTTGGATGCCCTTTCATGCTTGTGGAAATTAACCGGTTTTGTAGGCTTTAATAACATGCGAAGATTAGCTCTGCCATTAGTTGGACTAGCTGGTTGTATATATATTTGATATTTACTTTAAATTATTTTTTCTCCATTTTTATCATAATATTTATTATATATTTTTTTTACAGGATTTGGTATTGTTACCTATATACTTTTTGATGCTAAACATGTAATTTCTCGTAAAGTTGCACGTAAAATTCGCGGTCATTTGAAACGTTCAGACTATGTGAACATTGAAACCAATCGAATCGTGAGACAAGGCCGCAAAAAGATAAGAAAGGTATCAGATAATCTTCGAGACCAATTTAGAAAAGCCGTGGAAGAAGAAGAGACAAAGCAAGTTGCACAACGTATATCATACAAGAAATCAGAAGAAGCTGTCAAATTCTTTGAAAAGATCTTTAGCCAGACTGAACAAGTGGCCGAGTGTTTGGAAGACTTTCTTGGTAACAATGAATGGGAAGATTACGAGGAAATTCCAGTTTCCAATTAAATAATATATATTGTTAAAAATCCTATAATACAATCAGTTTAATAATTTGATAAATACATTTATTACATCAATAATTTTTAAAAAATGTTTATTTAAAACTTATCTTGTAAAAAAAAAAAAAAAAAAAAAATCTCGTGTAAGAACATATTCATAAAAAAAAAATAAAGTTACCACTTTATACCAGACACTTTTTTTGATTTGTATAATTGTATATATATTGTATTGTAATTAAAGCACGTGATCTAATAAATGTTTCGGAGTCTCTATATTGAAACTCCTGACGTTCTTCTCACGTTCTCTTATCGTCCTATTCTCTCTCCTTACGTGTTTATCGGTATTTTCTTCGAACTTTTTCAAGTATTATGTCAGAAGAAACCGAGTTTCCAAAGACCGTTGAAGGGTTTGGATACCGTTTTAATGAAAAAGGAGAATTGAGAGATATCGAAACAGGTATGCTGACGGAATTGTAATATATTTTAACAAAATATTAATTTATACTTTTTATTATCAAATTTTATTAGGTGGGAGATTTGAGTTCTTTTATAGAACTGGAGACCGTTATTATAACCAAAGACGTTATGAAGAATTGGGTGGTACTTTATCATTTTTTTTTCTAATACAATGTTATGAGTCAAATACTTTTTATTAAAATCTTGATTAAATGTTATATAGATGTAATCGGTGAATTCATTGAAAATGAATTAGTAGAACAATATAACCTCATCAGAAAAATTATTCCGGTGGAGTTGAAGGAAGATGATAACATTGCAAATGCAAAAAGTAGAATTTATATAAGGTACATACAAAATAAGAAATAAAGATCCTACTATTATAAAAAAAACCACAGTCAATAATAGAATATTTTCATTATCTTCTATATAGTGATGATGCCCAAGAGTGTCAAACTTTGCTTTTGCTAATACAAGGAAGCGGAGTAGTGCGGCCTGGACAATGGGCACGTCAAGGTTTATAAATTTATCTTTAATAAACGCGTTAAATCTTTGTTGGAACTAATTAATTTATTTCGTATTTTTGGATAGTGATTATTAATGATTCTCTCGAGGTTGAAAATGTGTATTTATGTGTTTTTGATGCAGCTGTATGAAAATATATTATTTAATTCGTTTTTGTTATTTTTAATGCTGATTAAATATAGCTTGGAACTATGTTTCCATACATCAGAAAGGCCCAAGAGTTAAAATGGGGGATTGTTATATTTAATCCTAATGAGAATTATGGAAGTATTATGAAAGATGGAGAAGTAAGTTAAAATGCTTATTAATCATATTTTCGTTTTATACAATGTAGTTATTCTTATTTCCATTTAATATTTATTCAAGGTTAGGGATCGTCGTATATTTGGCTCAGAATCACCACAAAATCATTGTTTATATGTATGGGATAAATTTGTAACGTAAGATATATTTATTTTTGTTGACAATTTTCAAAAAAAAAAAAAAATCGATTTTAAATTAATTCATCTACAGAAACGCGAGAGCGAAAGAAATTCTAATTGTGGCTCATAGTTATGGTGGAATTTGTACTAGTTATTTGTTAGATCAATATGGTAAATCAAATTATCAAGCTTGAGTTAGAAAATAGTCAAAGATTCATTAGTAATTAACTTGTTTTTTATAATAGCTGATGATTTTTATAAACGTGTTAAGGGAATTGCACTTACGGACAGTGTGCATAGCTCTGGAATGATACCAACACATTCTAAACTTTGGTTTTCAAAAAAAGCTATTAATTGGATTAAATCAGACTTACCTATAAATGATCCTATACGCGAAGCAAATCAATTTTATGGATGTAATTGTTTTTCAGCAGGTGAAGAGTCTGTTTTGCATTTATTTTATAATAGTTTGTGTACAAATAACTAATATTACTTTAATCAAACAAGGTCATCATAAACATGAATATACTTCTGGTGTAGCCATCGAGCCCGTTTTTGAATTTCTGCAATTTCGGGCTCGAGGTAATAAAGAGATAACAAACCAAAAGAATGAAACAAGTGAACAATCTTTTACAAATAATAATGAAGGTAAGGAACAGTAAAGTTAATAAAAACAATAAAAACGCAAGCTTGGGATAATTAATAGCGCTTAAAATACTACAGATGATAAAGAATCAAGAGTTGTCAAATCATTTAATGAAGAAACAAAACTGCAAACTCAAAATGGTAGTGAATCAATAACACACGAGAAAGGTACAAATGATATGGAAATTGACGAATTACCTGAAGCAACCAATAAGACCAGCTCAGAAAATGATACTAAGCTAGATTCAAGTTCAGCTATGGAAACTGAAGCGACTAGCTCAGAAAATGATACTAAGGCTACTGAGGAATCTCAGCTAGATTCAAGTTCAACTATGGAAACTGAAGCGACTAGCTCAGAAAAGGATACTAAGGCTACTAGGGAATCTCAGCTAGATTCAAGTTCAACTATGGAAACTGAAACGATTATCTCAGGAAAGGATACTAAGGCTACTGAGGAATCTCAGCTAGATTCAAGTTCAGATGTGAAAATAGTTGATGAAACAGTGGCAACGAATGTGATTAGCTCAGAAAAAGATACCACGGCTATTGAGGAACTGACAGGTAGCGAAACACCTAATGCAATAATGAACGAGCAAGTGGAAATAGTTGCCAAAGCAACCAATGAGACTACTACTAAAACAGTAATAAACAAGCAAACCAATGAAGTTAATTTAGAAAAAAATACTGAAAAAGATACGCTAAAAGCTTTTATGAACAATGCTATCACGAATGATGAAGTTACTGTAAAAAATGATATTTCTGAAAATGAAAAAATTAATAATAATAATACACCAAAAGAAAATACGACAGATTCAAATTTTAATACAGATGCTCAAGTTTTAAAAGATGATAATAATTCAAAGGATTCCTCTCAGAACAACAATGTTTAGACAGATCAAATTATATCTTAATTGAAAATGTTTAAAAGCTAAGGTTTAAGGTTTAACAAATCAATGTTTCTTTTTTGTATAACATATAATATATTATTAAAGAATTTAATCTTATTTGTTCTAATAAAACTTCGAAATTTTTCTTGCTGCAATAATAATGGTTTACATGTGTTACATACAATTGCTGAATGAAACTATACATGTTGAAAGTTTTTTAATAATAAAAATCTATAAATTATCGTTTTTTGTTATTTTCACACCAAATAAATCTTCTTATTCTTGCAACTTCATTCCTTTTTTTCAAATAACCTATGATTTTACAGCCGAATTTTATCACAAATGATTATAATAATAAAAAGGACTAAAATTACTAAAATAATTATTAATTAAAAAAAAAATGGAATCCGTGGCGAAATAGAGAATGTAATAATTTGTTTCATTTATGCAAATATTTGAAATTGATGAGAAAACATTTTATATTACACATATAGTGGTAGTATATTTTTTGAGTTTACTGTCTTTTTGCAACTTGGACATGGAAATTTTTTCTTTTCCGAATATTTGTATTTATCTACACAAGAACCACATACTACGTGTCCACAATTACTTAAAGCCCATAACTTTTCATGTAATAATTCATCACAATCGGCACAAATTAATGTGTGAGAATCTTCAAGATCTCTTGCATGACCAGATAATATTGGCGGTTTAGGAGAATTATTATTTCTTCGACGTGGTGGAGTGTTGAGTATTTGAACATCATTAGAGTTAATATTTGTATTTGCTCTACTAGGATCAAAAAAAGTTGACATTGGAGACCTGGAAGATCCTGAAGAATTATTGTTTCCATAATGTATATCATTTGCCGTTAATAATACTTCTGTGGTTGAAGCATATGGATGAAATGCCGAAGAATGATGTCGGTGGCGATTGTTATTGTTATTATTATTGGTTTGACTCATTGTTAACATAAAATTTAAAAAGCCTATACATAAATTATGATTTTTTTATAAAAAAAGATTTTTTTCAAATTATTAGTAAATCAAAAATTTTATATAATTAATATACAAGGAAAAAAAAAATATCTTTAAAGCAAAACAAACTTCTAATTGAATGTCTACTTTGTGTTCGATTGGGACGTGTTGAGGTGCTCCTGTTAGAACTACTTCCGTTAGTACTAAGTCCTGCTAAACCATTCCTAAGATTATAGTTGGTATTGTTGCCTGAAGAATCTTGAATGTTGTTAGAAGAATGTCTTGTTGAAGAATTGAAAATATTTTGGCTATCAAAACCAAGCATACTATTAGGATTGTTATTATCATTAAAGCGATAATTACTATTGTTACGATGCGAAGAGTCATTATTTTCGTCTTCAGATTCACTTATTATTATGATATCGGTCACTGGAGTTCTTCTAACAGGCAATGGTGTCATCGTCAAGTCAATAGGTGAAGATGCCGACATATTAATAAAAGTTCGTGGGATTGTCGCTGGACTTGACATTGTATTTAGAAATACCCGTTTTTTTGAAAAGTTGAAATAAAAAAAATAAGACTTTATTATTAAATGGAGTGGCTATTTATATTTTACTATGACACTATATTTTGATTATAAGGGAACGTGACGTCATTGCTTATTAGTCACGAGATGTATTTATAATTACAGATAAACGAATTACATAAAATGAATCAATATTTCCATAAATGGAATTGATATATTTAAGGAATGTTTTAATCATACTTCCATAACCGGAAATAGATCATCACATTATTCCCTATAAACTAAGTAATATTATATATTTTTCCAACGGCGGTTGGTGCAACCCTTCCAGCAAATGCAGCTTCGCCCTCATGTAATTGAAATTCTAATGCAGCTCTGCATCTCCAACCAGAACAATGACCAGGAGCTAAAAAAGCGGGATTAACTAATGCTTTTAAATCTCTCACAGTTTTTTCAATTTTACTTTCTTGATCATAACCCGCTAAATGAAATCCCCCCATAACCAAATAAATTGGATATTTTTCTCGTTTATCAGAAAGCGGATTTTGAGCTTGTAATAAAGTGTTGACAATTCCTGCATGCCCGCATCCCGTGACTACAATTAATCCTTTATTTTTTATTCTTAATACTAAAAACCTTTCTTCCATTATTAACGGATCATCTGTCCAAGTTGACAATGTTTCATCGTACGCTACATGGTTAGCTAATCCTGTCTCATACTTAATATGACGAGATATTTTTCCGCTCACATAAAAGAAATTTGAACATATTGTGTGAGATTCATCAGTTTTCACTAACTTCCCGCCAGCTTTTTCAAGTTCCTCAAATGTAGGATTATTAATAACCATCACATTATCACTCTTGGGAAGCTTAATTCCTCGACGAGATGGTCTATCTTTGGGTAAATCGACAATTACTTCTTTTAAAGAACAATCGCGTCTTGCTTTACTTATTGCTTCAATTGCACTCGGTAGTCCATCAGAATGGTCTAATAATCATATAATCATGTGAGAACAATGTAGTTAGGACTTAGGAAATATACATATATGTATACGTCTTTTATCACGCTTTACCGCAATGCCAATGACTCAATACCTTGAAACGTAAATAAAAAAAATAATTATTATTACGAAAAAATTTTTTGTAAGAAATTATATGTATATACCACAGTTTCAATTTTTGAATAATCAATTCCTAATTTACGTGAATTATCCATAAAAATTTTTCCATACGGTCCAGCATCAAATAATACCGAATGAGATTCCCCATTGCATGTACCAGTCTATTTAAGAACATTTTTCCATTAATTTTTCCATTAATAATACGTGCATTTTACTATTTAACTTACGATAAGAACAGAATAACCATGGGCACCACAACAGTATTCCATAATCTCCAAAGTTTCTTTTTTATTTATTAAATCTCTCTTAATTTCAGCTATGATAAGAGATAAAATTACATATTTACTTTAATAAAATTAACATTAAACATGCACGGTAATTTATTTACTTGTGATATTCCCGATACTAGCATTTGAAGAAGATAACGGATCAACTTCATTATCAACGACAATTATTATTTCTACTTCGTCAAGTTCTTTTAAGCTTTCATATCCCAAATTATTCGCCATATTAATTTTTTCGTACAAGAAAGAGAGTTTTGACTTTTAAAATAGCTTATTTGATCTTCACATGACTAATAATGTGATAATTTCACAGATATCCAATAAACGGTACAGATTTTCTTTAACTGTAATTCTTACTAAAAGTATTTGTATAAAGATTTTCATTTAATTTTTGTTAAACTCTTTAATGGTATAAATTAAACTTTTAATAAAAGCATTCATGACAAATTTTGATGTTTACTTACTTAATTCAACATTATTTCTTAGCATTATATAATACTAAATAGATAAGAATCTACCTTAATAATAAAAAATTCATTTTAATTTTATTATATATAAAACTGAAGTATTATTTTAAATTAATGAATTAACCAATCCATGAGAATCAGCATTATTTTAATAATAAATTTTGGGGAGATACCACTTCTATAACTTAGTATTTAATGATTGTAAAAGTAAGAAATATAACTCATCTTACTGAGATGAATTGAATGGTAGTAATTTTCTTTTTAGAACTGATAGATAATGAGAAATCTTATAATATTTTTTAGAGGTCCAAATCTGCTAGAGAAAAATTTTTATAAAAAATCATAAATTTTGAAAAATTGATTTTTTAAACTTATAGGAAAGTGTCTTTTTATTTTCTAAAAAAATTCTTGATACTTTGCCAAAAGATAATATTAGGTAAAGTTATATACTTATATGTAAAATATACAAATAAATTAAAAGAAATTTATTGTATTAATTATTTTTATCAAACTTTTTTATGCTTTTTTTACCTTTTTTTTACTATTTAACCATTTTTTTTTATCAAACTTACTTTTGTTTTTTTCTATTTCCTTATTTTAAATCATTAAATTTCATAATATTTGTTAAATTAAATAATTCAGATTAAATCTTCTTTATAAAAATTTATATTTTACATAGTTTTTTTGCTAATCAATTTTAATCAATCAATTTTAATTTATTTTCATTAAAAATTTGCAATACTTTTATTTGCAAATTTTTTTTTGTATTATAATGGTTTAAAAATATTTAATTAATCAGAAAAAACTATCAAATTCATATTTTATTTATTTTTAATATTAGTAATTATAGTACACAAAAAAATACATGATAATAATAAAGCAAAAAATAAAAAACAGAACTACAGTTCATTCTTACTATAGTGAATCCCTATAGATACTAAAAATTATTTTATTATATATATAAAAAATCTGTATTTGAACTTTTTTTTATTATAGCAAGTTATTCACTATATAAAAATTCACTATAGAAAAGGTGAACTATATATATAAAAATAAAAAATAAAATTCATGAAAAAAGTCAAAAAATAAAATAATAATAAAATTTATAAAGTTAAAAAGTAAAATTTGTGATATTGAAAAGTAAAATATATTAAATTAAAGAATAGTATAGAGTGAAGAAAATATAGTTAGTAAAAAATAAAAATTAGAAAATAAAACAAGAATTTAAAGATTAAAGCCAAATAGCATATGTCAATAATGTAGTTTTAATGGCAAGGCTCGAATACAAACTGAAAACTACTTTGGTCAGTGAAAATTAATGCCAAACACTTCATAATTGTATGTAAGGTTGCTTGTCTAAACCTCTTCAAAATCCTATGATTAGTTTCGTCAAAATTTTACTATAGATTTATTATAGTTTTGGCAGAGTTTTAGCAGTTTCGGCATTTATAATAAGTTTTGGCAGTTTCGTCTTTCTCCAAAGTTTTGCCAGTTTTTTAATATAACTTTAATATAGTTTTGGCAGAATTTCGCTTTTCGGCAAAACGCCATCTTGCCTAAACCCCTAGGTTTCGGCAAGCAACCTTAATTGTATGATTACTCTACTTAAGACAAAAATGAGAATCACAAGGTCTGTAAATAATAATATTTTTACGCACCAAAATATTGTTGGATTAGTGCCATTATCTTAGCATTTACATATCCCTTAAACTGTAAGGGCTAAAATTAATTTTAAAAATTTTAGAATTTTTAAAATATCTTAAGATCTAGTGATCATAGAAAGATGAAATTATATTTGTTAGATTCCTCTTATTAAGGAGCATTTAATGGTAATAAAATCATAACTCTAAAATTGAAAAATAAAAAGTTATATTAATATATAAATTTTTAGATTTTATAAGTTATCCTGTCAAATAATATTTGTAGAAGAATAATTTTATTTCTATCAGATTCTTCTCATTAAGACGCATCAAATGGTGGTAATTTTATATTTCTAGGGTTAATGGATAAAAAGATATTTCAATTTAAAAAATTTAGCTACTATTTGTTATAATTTGTCAATCATTTACTTTTAAAAAATCATTAATCAAATTGAACTTTTTTTTCAATTTTACTTAGAAAATACTATAGAATTTATTATAAAAATATTGGTTTATGTAATAAAATATTTTAAGGTATTTAAAAGTGTCTTTAATTAAAAAACAAAATTGCAGGCAAATTTGGCTGCAAAACAGTTTAAGGGATAGCACAATATTCAGAATTTATTATTAGAATTAATTTACAAGATTGGAATGGAATAAACACAAGAATCATACTCAGGAATGCACAGCTTCACATAGAATTACAAGAATGCATATTGGTTGATCACACAGAGCTGATTCTAAAAATTAATTTACAAAATAACTTTAACTTTAAATTATTGAAATCATTTAAGGATTAAATGTTTAGCTTCAGACCAACAGATCTTACTGCATGGAATTTAACCACGTAATATCAACATACTATTATTTCAATCTTACATACATCTGTTGATGTAAGGCATACAAATTTCAGGAAACTAGAACAATCAAGGATAAAGGCCATTGAATCTTTTATCAAATGACCTGCAGAATTACTCAATATTAACTTTCTAGATCACATTACACATAACAATAGTGTAGATATGTTATTCTGGACTCAGATCAAAAAGATTTTTGGTAAAAATCCCAAAGGGCCAATCCCAAATTTTTTTAAATACTTGAAAGAAATAGCTATCAATCAGAATTCGAATAGATAACGTACATTAATAGAACAGTACCAAGTTACGATTACCCTGACTAATAAGACTATTACACTTATACCTTCTCCTCCTTTAAGCGATGGAAGGCAGATCATTATACGCGATGGAGATAAGTACCAATTCAGAAAAATTTTAAAGAAAAATCTCATACAATTCTTATATCAACATTGGATAAGACAAGATAACAGTAATTTGATTACCCAATGTGTCAGATGCTCAACCAACTCGACTCACATAGAGGATGATCCTATGTAAAGAAGAAAAAATATCATAAATCAACAATTATTGATGTAAAACGTTCAACTAATAATTACCAGGATACTTCTACTTATGAGATTTTAATACCTGTTAATTTGATCAAGATGAGAATAATTATGAAACCTTTATCGTATGAGAATGAATTTCCTTTCATATCACTTGATATTTCAAGTCATGACCTAGACATTATTAAAAAAACTATCTTATCAATATTACTAATCACAGAGCTCTCAGATATTCTCAGATACCTCGAACAATTTGACAATCAAGAGTTTCACTTTTTACCGATGATTCAATAGATTTGAATTGTATAAACAATGAAGATGTCATTATAATAGGACTATGGGAGCAGGTTGGATTTTAAAAAATACAGATATTAGCTTTTCATGTGAAATAAGATTCCACCCCTTATCAACCAGACCTAAATTGCTTGCTATACTGACAGCTTTACTAGTCACCTCCAGAGAACCATGGATATATATTTATACAGATAGTTAGGCAGTGATCGATGATATCAACACAATTAACAATGTATGTGGTATCGAGATATGGCCATAAATTTCTTAAATTTAATAATTATATCATTTTTTCGCTATTTATGATATTATCAAGTCTAAGAAATTGAACATTAAAATATATAAGGTTAAAGGTCATTCAGGTTGCTATTGGAATGATATGGCTGATATGATAGTAAAAATAGGTAGAGAAACAGTAGTTATCAATTCTAATAGATTAGTTAACTTATAATTTATATGTAATTATAGTTTTCCTTTATATTTCTGCCAATTTGGCATAGTATAGAGATAGATAGATGTGTTCGAAAATTGTGTAGAATAGTTTTGGAATCATTGAAAGAGATTACGTGATCTTTGAATAGTAATTGGAAGGATTGTTTCGATAACCAAACACACGATATATATGAAAAATTAATAGAATGGAATTGGACCGCACATTGACGCTATCTTACTGAAATTTCAGCGTAATGGATTCTGTAATCACCAAATATTGAAGATAGAGTCTTTATGGCTATTATTGGCTAAGATGACCCATTACTAAATGAAGTCTATCTACAAAATTAAACAATTTCTCAACAGTGCACATGTAGGGTATTATCAATTAGTATAATGAGTAATTTGTAGTTTAATTATATTAGAATAATTATTAGGAAATTTTACTTAGTATATATTTTCTTTATTTTTTTACTTTAATAAAACTGCAAATATACTGCAGAAAAAAAAAGTATAAAAAATTGATCATTATTAAAAAAAATTATAAAGAACCTTAATTACAATAATTTAATAATTTTATATTTAATTAAAAATACTGTATATAAATAATATAACTAAAAATTGAATTACTATATAAATTTATTTTTAATTTATTATTATATATATAATAATTAATTCATGATCCGTCTCCAAACCAGTGAAATCTACTAATACATTTTGGGGAATTATTTTGCAAATTAATTTAGTGGGAAATTCAGATAAGAGCAAGAGATATAGCACGCAGGAATGTGAAATGAACTTACAAATTATTAGAGAAAAGTAGTTTAGAAGAACTGCAAAATTACTAGATACACCACTCAATATAAGCAAAATATAGTACGACCTGTGTTTAATAGAAATAAATAATTTTAATACTTTTTTTTTGTTTTTTCTTATTTATAACCTTTAAATAAATTATTTACCAGCAAATAAATAACATTTTAATAAAAAAATATCAATTTTGTGATTGTCACACCTCTTGTATTGAATAATT